GAAAAATCACAATTTCATATCAACATCCTCCCCGGGTCTAGAAGCATCATTCCCACACACCCCCCCCCCCCGCCCCGTGCAGGCAGCAGCCCAATCATACTAATCATTCTGCAGTAGAAGTAGGTACTCTCATCACTGTCCCAGTTAGCACAGTCCCTGAGCTACCTGGGGAGAAAAACGGGGCAAAGCCAGCTGGTCATGGTACCCCAATAGATGAGTTTGAAATTAGAAGGACAGCACCCTCAAGCTGGCATATGCTGGATGGGTTTGTCAGAAGGCATGATATTTTTTCAGTTCTCTTCATCTCCTAGGTCCACTGCATTCTCAGGAAGAGCCCCAAACTCTGAGAATTCTCATTATGGTGGTTGGTTTCTTTTCACTGTCCTCCATGTAACAAGTACCTATAAGAAAAATGCCTTAATGCTCGTGTAGTGAACACTGTGCTCACACACAGACCCATTCACCATTTACAGTAAACACACAGGCTAGTCTTATCAGCCTTATTTTAAAGATAAGACAGATTCAGAGAGGTTAAGTAACTTGCCATTTGAATCCCAAACTGCACAGTGGGATCCCAGTAAGTGCCATTCGAATCCAGTTACATTAACAGATTTCTCCATTATCCACCTGTTCTTGGTTTCTCTTGTCTGCAAGAATAAAGCTACAATATACTTAGATGATTCAGACCCATGGAATATTTTTCAAAGGTCAGATATCCCTTTTTCACGAGTCGGTGTAAGGGCCTTGACAAGAAATCACTACTTAAAGAATGGTTTGAGATGTACTCAGAACCTGAAAAATGTCTTGTCTTTCATTAAAATCGCATATGCTAAAGGTCAGCCTAACATTATAAGTGTTGTCTTGGGGGTTTTTGGAGAAGAGGGAAAATGGTGGCATTTAAATCATTTAAATTACGTCTTAACTTTCTCTTAGTTTCAACATAATTCCTTAGCAAGTTGAAGGTGCCTATAGCTTTGCAGGGTTTGGGCATCTCTTCAATGTTCTGCAAACTTCCCTTCCTCTGAAAGAAACATTACATAGTTAACTTCCAGAGCGCTCTGGGAACATTTTAGAGATCTATGCATCTTCAGGGGGGAAATGGTTTCTTCTATAAAATATTGTTTTAAACATTTAAAGCCATCTTTGTTAATCTTCCATTTCTTAAAAATTGGGACATCACAGTGACATTATAAGAGAGCAGTTGTCTATAATTTGCACAGCTAAATTTGGTTTCCGGATTGTCAAATATGCAAACGCATTGTTTGGAATAATAGTTAATAATAGTTTCCAAGCAAGTCGGAAATAGAGCCATTCTCACTGAAAAGCAGGAGCCCAAACGCGACTGTCTCTCCAGTAAGATAATGAGTTAATGAGGAGGACCTCTTTCGAACCAATAAACAACACTGTCATTCAGGGTTATCTGGGCACCCACTACCTTGACCATGAAGTCGCTAACCCATCACTATGTGATCACCAAGAATAGACCCATGACTGCCTCTTTAGCAAGGGCATGAGCTAAACAGCTGGCCCCTGTATCTGGGGTTGCAGGGAAGGATGACTACACTAAGAATAAGGCCCTGGTTTATCAAGCTTCTGCTGTGAACCAGGGCAAGCTGTTGGGAGTATGAAAGGGAATGAATTTAAAACTCTGAGCTTCTAGGGCACCTGGAATAGCTCTTTTGATGCGCTGCCCAGAAAAGCCTTCCCAGATCCCCCCAGCACAGGCTTTGCCCTGGATAGCATCCATCTGTCTCTCCAGACCCATCCTCTGTCCTTCTGTACCCCCAGAGCTTGATCTTTGAGCCCAGTACCCACAAAGCTCCTGCGACCCCTGGTTTGGGCCATTAGAAGAACGAGGAGTGAGCAGAGGACGCAGGGTGAATGAGGATGGGGGATTTATTCCCCAACCTGGAGCTCGGTACACTTCCTTCAACCACCGCTCTTGCCCATCCCCGGCACCCTCTCTGCACCTCCGCCCCTCCCACTTGGGGATGATCATGGCTTCCTGCCTTTGCTGTTCCTGGTGCTTCACCGTTCCCTGATGCTGCTTTTCTTGGGACCTGCTCCATCTCTGCTAACGGGCCCTCTGTGGAACTCGTCAGTCCCCTGCTTTGAGCGTCACGCTTCCCTATGGGACTCTGATGCCGTGGGCCTTGTTCCCCTCATTCGCAGCTAACTGAGGTTGGCTCTGTAACACGAAGATTTCAGATTTTGAAGAATACAGAAGTTGAGGCAGGATGCCTAACACTTCATGCTCGCTCAGCTACCAGCTCTTTATCAGCTCTCTCTGTAAGCTCGAGCAACTCGCCAACACGTCACTGTCTGGCTTTGAAAGCTCTGGGTATTCAGATCCCCAGCTACACACCCAATGCTCCAATTCCCCTCCCTCCTCCAGTCAGGCCTTTCTAGAACTCCACTGTCCTCCCAGCCTCCACACACGATCTCCCACTCAGTGCCTCGCTTCTGCAAACACATGATTCTGTCTTTGCCCGGAGATGTTACTTTTCAACTGCCAGGGTGCAGAGCACAGTTCTCAGGCTATGGTAACTTCTCAGTTCTTGTTAATGGAAAAACTTGGGAACAACTCAATGCATGTCAGTTGACATCAGTGGCAACTTACAATCACCCATATATTTGGACCCATTTGCCTCCGTGTTCTGTTATAGACTGGTGTATTTTGTTTAAGGCATTTGGAAGTTTTAAAAATGTAACATATAGCGCATCCTACTATGTATGCGTGTGTGTGTGTGTGTGTGTGTGTGTCTACGGCTATCTAAATATAATTTGTCTGGGGGTGGGGAGCAGAGGGTAGACCCATGATATGAAAAGGACGGGCTCTAAAAGAGTAGAGACCTGGGTTTCAATTCCAGCTTAGGCTACTTGCTGCGTCACCTTGGACAAGTTGCTTAGACTCTTAGATCCTATTTCCCCTTCTGGCAACAGGGTGGTGACCCCATCTGCTGTAGGTTATTTGTGAGGGCTACATGATTTATTTTATGTAAAGGGCTTGGCACACAGAAGATGCTTGCTAAGTGTTCATTTCCTTCCTTCCAGAATTATGGCTCGTAAACAAAGAAAATCCTGGAGTTCCTTGGAAGTTCTGTTGGTTTTTGTTTTCTCAAGAGTCCTTGATTCTTTGAGTCAAATTGCCCAGGTTCAGAAGCTGGGACACTAGAAGCTTTACAGCAAGACAAAATAAGCTTTGTACAGCAAATACCTTCCAATTAATCTTAATCAAAGTCCCTTGAGGTCAAATGTTTAAGCGTTGGAAATTGAGGTGATTAATAAGACTTCATAGTAGAAAAGCCTTAAATTTTGTTACCTGCCTCCTGGCTCTTTAGAAACTAGAGATGGCTTGAGAAGTACAGTAAAAGTGTAAATCAGCTTGTTAGATGTCTTTAGCCCAACTCTTCAATCTGTTCTATCTCAGTAGCTAATAAGAAAATTCAGAGGCAAAAGGGAACTTCCAAGTATGATGTCTTGGTCTTGGGCATGGGGATTGTTCCAAGTATTTACATATAAATGCAGTTTATTACCATCTGCAAATTATACCTCAATAAAGGTGCTTTTAAAAGTCACCCAGGAGGGGCCCCTGGGTGGCTCAGTCGGTTGAGTGGCTGACTCTTGATTTCAGCTCAGGTCATGATCTCAGGGTCCTGGGACTGGGTCTTGCATCCAGCCCTGTGCTCAGCAGGGAGTCTGCATGGGATTCTCTCTCTGCCCCTCCCCCCTACACCCCCCTTCTCGCTCACGTGCATGCTTACGCTCTCTCTCTCAAATAAATAAATAAATCTTTAAAAAATAAGAATAAAAAAATAAAAGTCACCCAAGAAAAATAAATTTTAAGAAAAGAAAAATTTTCATTGGCTTATGCACTTGACTGTTTTGTACATTTTACTGTATATAAATTCAACCTCAATAAAGTACTACATGTGCGAAAAACATAAGATGTCAAATAGTGAGTATAGTACGCTATCTTCAGTGTAAGAAATAGAAGGGGTATAAGATCTGCATAAGAGTCCTGGAAAAATAAATAAGAATCTAATGACAATTATCCAGACTTAGGGCCCAAAGAGAGGAGAACAAGGACAGAGGAAGGAGTGAGGATTTTAACCCATACATTTTTAAATCCTCTTGCTCTAGGAACTCTTTAAAATCAAAAAATAAAGAGTCTTTAAATGAAAATGAGTAACCAGGTGATTGAGGTGGGGGGTTGAAGCTGGGAGGAGAAAAGGCAAGACGGGCGTTTTCTAAAATCAGAAACAACTTGAAAGTACAAATAAGAAAAGACCAAATTGGAAGAAAAGACCAAACTGTGAGATTCAGTGACAAAACCGTCCACCATCTGAGGTCACTGAGCAGACATGAGCTGTTTGCCACGTTACTAATCTCCTGCCCAGGAGTATAAAGATTGCTCTCCTCAAAACAGATTTGCCAGAATATTTAAAATTAAACAAACCTTAGCACCCCCAGCTCCCCACATTCTACTGAAAGGGGTCTCCACTGTACCAACACGTCTCTTTTGTCATCTGGGTGGTATCCCCTAAGCAGAACTTCAATGGGTCATTATGCTAAATGCCCCCCTCTTCAGTGAGGGGGAGGATGGAGATGATCACAGGAATGAAGAGGGTAGAAAATCCACTTCTTTCCACCTTGGGGAGGGGGAGCAGAGACAGAGCAGGGAGATGGCAGAGAACCCACGCCCCCCCCAACCCCGCTCTGCTCCTGTCGAAGTCTGCTTTAATGCCCTCTGGAGGGAGGCTGCCACAGAGGGCGTGGGCTGAGGAAATCAGGGTGAGGAGACGCGTCTCCTTGCCCTGCTCACCATCACCTCTAAGGAGCTGTTTATCATTTTGGATCCTTAGTTCTCCTGCCTGTAAAAGAGAAGGGGTTGAACTCCCTTGCCCAAATCCTTTGTGGCTTGCAAATGTTCTGATTTCAGGGTCACATGGGGGGTTTCCCCGCCTTGGCTGACGCTGGGTTAGCCGGAGGTAACTCACTGAGCGTGTGGCAAGCAGGGCTGTGCTGTCAGTGTTCGGCTGGATTGGCAAAAAGGAAGGGGCGGCCCCAGAAGGGTGTGGAATGCAGCTCTGCAGGATGCGGGCCCAGCCCCTTCCATTCTCCACGCAGGGAGTCATCTGGGTCCCTTCAATCCCTCCTCTTCTGCCAGTCACTCTCCTGCTCATTGAAAAAGACCAGTTAGACTTCCTGTCTATCAGCACTTGAGTTAGAAGATCTTAAGCAAGGCCTTAGACCTCCTGAAACTTGACCTCTTGGCATCCCTACCCACGATATGCCAGCCACGCATGCCCATGGCCCTCCCCTTCTGCAGGTGCACTCCTGCACCACTGGGCACTCGGTTCACCCCCACAGGCTTGCCCTCATCTGCGCCATCAACAAGCTGTTTTCCAAGATCCATGGTGTGAATCAGATACCTCCCTGGCTCCAGGGGGACACAACAAGAGGAATTACCTTCTATTCTGCTTTGGCCTTCAAAGCAGGACACCAGAAGGACAGGGAACCAGAGAGTGAGGGGACACATCTGATGCTGAGTTTTACACAACAGAGTTTGAACTCAGGCCATTTAACCTCCACTGTCGAAGCTAACATCCAGTGCTTATGACCATTATTGTTTCATTTAGATTCCAAAATATTTTCATATTGCAATGCAAGCCTCTACCCAAGATTGATCTCTTCTCTCCACTGTTACCTTTCCCCAAGTCTTTTGTTTACACTGATTTCATTCCAGCAGCTTTATTTCAAGTGAATCCAAGCAGATTTCCTCTTTTTTTTTTTTCTCTTAATTCATTCCTAGGGAAAACTGGTCTTCAAGGACATTAAAAGACCCATTGCCCCTTGTAAGCATAGAGATTACACTTTCTCCTTCTTTTTGCCTCAGCGGCCTCCAACCCAAGTCCACTCCTCTTGCATGCTCTGGTACTCCTCCACCCATAGTTTATAGGTAGAGGAATGACAGGGTCACAGGATGCCTGGGATCCTTCCTGGCTTGCTGATGAATCACTACTTCCATGGCATTTCATAGAACTACCAATCGATCAGCCCCTATCGATCTAGTTATGTATTCCTGCAAGCAAGCCACTCCAAAACCTAGTGGATTTAAAACAGCAATCACTTCTTTATCTCCCAAGTGTCTAATCTGGACAGTGCTTAAAAGGGAAGACTCATGTCTACTTCACACAGTAGCAACTGGGGTGGCCCAATGAGGGACTGAAGGATCACTTCCCAGATGTCATATTCTCATGCCTGGAAAGTTAGTGCTAGGAGTAGGATGGGAGGTCAGGGCTGGGGGCTTCAGCTCCTCTCTACACGGGCTTCTACCTAAGCTACTCAGCATACTGTCAGCGTGGTGAGTGGGTTCCAGGGGCATCCCAAGACAACATGGCGCTTCTATGACCTAGCCTCAGAAGTCACACCATGACATTTCTACCCTACTCTATTGATACAGTCATAAAGGCCAACTTAGGTCCAAGGAAAATAGACATAGACCCAACCACTGTATGGGAAGAGTGTCAATGTCAACTGTAAGAGCATGGGGGATGGAAGATTGCCCTTTATGCTGCAATATTTGCATACTTATTCTAATATAAAAAATTCTGTTTTCCTCCATAATGTTCAAGTAGTATTCACACTCCTGGGAGAGGTACCGTGTCATCTTTGATTCGACAAACACCCCAGCACAATACCATATCCCTACAGATGTTTAACAAGAATGGCCCGCCCCACCGTAACTGGTGAGCACTTCATCTGACTCGTAGCTGGCATGCTGTAAAGGGTAGTTACAACTTTCATCATTATTTAATAATAATAATGCTAACTGGCTGGGCAATACCAAATGAGGGGAGATGGCAAAATAATTCTCCCTGATAGGTCCTTGTAACTTATAATCCAACTAACCCAGACAGTGTTTTTTGAAAAAAAGAGAGCTATTTAAAACCATCTGGCTTTTCTACCCTCGGAGAGGCATTGCCCAACTGAGAAAACCCTGGAAACCCTCAGAAGCTTTACACTTGCAAGGTGTGATGGACTTCGGGCTCTCAGATGTCTACTATTAGCAGCTGACCATGCTAACCGATACAGAGCCTAATGCCGCTTTCCCAAGCTTCACTTTCTCTAGAGACTTGCTCTTCCCACAGAAAATCAACTCCAGTAGTCACTCCCAGCTTTTAAGTGTTTGCTAGTACTGTGCTACTCAAAATGGGGTTCACAGACCAGCAATATTTACCCTCAATAGAAATGCAAAATATATGGGCCTCACCCCAGATGTACCAAATGAGAATCTGTGTTTTTAAAACTCTCCTGGGGGTGCTTGGGTGGCTCAGTCGGTTAAGCGTATGCCTTCGGCTCAGGTCATGATCTTGGGGCCCTGGGATCGAGCCCCTCATGGCGGGCTCCTTGCTCAGTGGGGAGTCTGCTTCTCCCTCTGCCTCTGCCCCTCCCCCCACTTGTGCGCACGCTCTGTCTCTCAAAGTAAATAAATAAAAAATAAAAATAAAAAATGAAAGCTGTCCTGGTGATTCTCTTGTGCACACTCGAGTCTTCCAGCTGCCCTGCAGTGTGACCCCTCAGGCAAGCCTGCCTGCCGTGTGGACCCCGGCCAATTAAATAACCTCCCCCACTGCCAGTCGGTTCCCACATCAGCCATTCCCTTCAAAGAGCGCCATCAGACCTCACTAACGTCCTCACCTTAGCGCAACCACTGTTTCCATCACAACTTCTTTTGCCTCAGCCCAACAGGGTGCAGGTGTCTCTGGTTCATCGCCATAGAAGGAGCCAGATTCATTGCCTGTCATAAAAGTTATTCCTATGTGCTGCGTTTCCTCACTAGTTGATTGGCTTAAATCTGGAGGAGAAAACTCTTCTGTCCTCTAGAATGAATGTGCCAAAGTTTGATCTCATGACCTCAGAGATTTGAAAGAGTGCCATGATCAGTGTTAAATTTTGACTGATGTATTGGGTTATTTCATTATCCCAACAATCTTACCAATTTTCCTTAGAAAGCTTCTGTTTTCTTACTAACTTTGGATCCGAGACAAGATCTGAAGCATTCTTGGTTTTAATCAATTCTTTTTGTCTGTGGTCAGGAGTTTTGTCTGCTTTACCAAGGGGATCAGACTCTCGTTGGAATTCTTATTCCTTATCCAGAACGAAAGCCCATATATTAGAAATCCAGAACAAGACTAATAATGGGCCTCACATTGGACCCACATGACAAGTGTAGTATTGGGTTGTTGGCCTGGGGAATACCCAGATGTCTTATGCTCTTTAGGTTGCTCATTACCTTGGGAAATTAGCACAAAGATTATTTCTCAGCCTCCAAAGTTCAGAAACTTGGTTTTGGCACAGAGATGGTGGCTCCTCCTCTCTAGCAGAGACAGATCACGAGATGAATCAAAGCTGAAAGGCAATTTATTAGCTTACACTGAGAAATTACCCTCTCTGGAAATAGAAAACCCTGGTCCACATGTAATCAGTGCCTTATTTTCCTATAGCCCAGCTACATGGAGAGTGAAACCATTCTCTAAGTCAGGTTTATAAATTTTACAGTAAGAAATCACTGACACAGGAATTAGAATACTTAAAGTATGTATGAACCAAGAGACATACTTTCCCAGAAGGGAGTTTCCATGGAAGCTACGTCATAATCTAAGGGTTGCTGTTATGGGTCCCCCAGAGAGATGTGCTGAAGTCTTAACCCCCATTAATTGTAAATATGGTGTTTGGGACATAGGGTCTTTGCAGGTCTAAGTTAATATGAGGTCATTAGGGTGACCCCTAGTCCACTATGACTGGCGTTCTTATAAGAAGAGACACAGAGACATACAGACATCACAGCCCTGTGAGGGCAGAGGTAGAGATTGAAGAGATGCACGTAGAAGCCAAGGAACACCAAAGATTCCTGGAAAACACCGAAAACTAGAAGAGGCAAGGGAGGTTTCTCCCTTACAGACTTGAGAGGGAGCGGGGCCCTGCAGACATATTGATTTCAGACTTCTGGCCACAAGAACTGTGAGAGAATAAATTTCTGTTGTTTGAAACTACCCAGTTGCTGATACTTTGTTACAATAGCCCTAGGAAGCTAAAACTGTTGCTCTTCCAGCAGGGAGTCTGAGTGAAGGGAACAAAGACAATCCCACATGTGATGGTATCACGGCAGGAGAACCTGCTCACTTTTCTTTGTTCAGAGAGGGCCTTTCAAATGGGAACTGGAATCCCTGAAGCCCATTAGCCAAGGCCCACTCTTACATGGACAGTACTTACGGGATTAAATAGTACTTGTGGGGTCACATTTCATGCTTAATAGAAATCCCACACACGGAGGCACACGTCCTCATTTCCAAACAACAAAAGGGCCGAGTCGGGTGTAGGACGATCTTCCAGAAGACTCAAAGACGCTCAGGAATAACCATTTCATGGTGTTCCTGCCCACCACCTTTTTTTTCCTGGAAATACAGTCCATATTCTGACAGTGCTTTGTCGCAGGCAAATGTCCTAGAAAAATCTTTCTGGGCCTCACTGCCACACCTTTTATTCACTGGCTTCTGAGGCTTCCTTGGGGCGGTGGGGGGGGTGGTCAACAGACTGTTGGCCGAAGGAGTGGACGCCTTAAACTAAACATGTTGACAATTTTGTTCTAATGAGGGGCACTTGGGTGGCTCAGTCGTTAAGCGTCTGCCTTCGGCTCAGGTCATGATCTCAGGGTCCTGGGATC